CGGCGAGCAGGACCGCACGGCGCGGCGCGCGCACTCGGGCGCGCGTGCGCCTGTGAGCCGCTCCAGAACAACGCCGAAACCCAACCTCTCGAGCACCAAGCCCGAAATCCTAAGCCCCGCGCGCTACACCTAAGGCCCTAAACCCTGAAGCACTAGACACTGTGGCAACCACGCTCCAAGTCTTGAAATCCTTGAATCGCGGAGGCCTCCAAAACCTGGACGTGCTGGCCTCACCGTGGCAAAGAGCGCGCTGGTCAACTTGCATGTGGGTTAGCGGTTTAGGGTGTGGGGTTTAGGGTTTAGGGTTTAGGGTTTAGGGTTTGGGTTTCAGGGTTAGAGTTTGGGGAGTGTGTGTGTGGGTGGTGCCCTTTCTTGGGGTTCTGATAATCAGGGCTCGCATGCCCTATGTGGCAGAACTCCTCTTAGTTCGATCCATGTTTTGGATCCCTGTTCTTGGGCTCGTTTTTTTATATGAACAGATCTTATCTACAAGCTCGTGAGAGTTTGCATTCAAAATGGTCGCTGGGCCCTTGGTTTCATGGGGTATGTACGGGGTATACATAAGGGTTCATGAGGGGTATATACGGGGTGTATAAGGGGACTACTTTAGTGTTCCCACATCAAGGGCCCATATCAAGGGGCCATGTAGCTACCCTAAGATTGTGACATGGTCAAGTCAGGCCTTCTCCACCGGGCTTCCAGCCGCATCGTTCTTTGCATGGCGGTGCGCCCCCGATGAGATGCAGTCTTCAGACTTCTTCAGCTTCGCAGATTTCCAAGGGCACAGGGTTTGGGGTTCAGGGTTTAGGGTTTAGGTTTAGGGTTTAGGGTTTGGGGTTGAGGGATTTGACTGATGTTGCAGGTGGCAGTGTGAGCAGCGACGCAGCAAAGCGGTGCTGGAGCATGCAGGGGTCCTGGATGACAAACGGCACCAAATCGTAATCTCTCACCCCGCCTCCGAATATTAAAGCCCTCCCAGCACACATAGTGTTTAGAGCCTTTAGGGTTTAGGGTTTAGAGTTGAAGGTTTAGGGTTTAGGGTAGAGTGACTAATGTGCTATTATGGAAAGGGGGGGAGGGTGAATAGCAGGGGGAGGATGCAAGAACCACTCAGGACTCAAGCAAGCTGACTGCAAGGAAGCGAACCTCACTTCTCACCAGGCGCGCTTGTGGGGTCTAGAAGCCCCCAAACCTGCAATGTGAGATCCTGAAGGGAGGGGGCCCAGGGAGCCCTCCCTTCTCGCCTACGCAGCAGATATGTGACGGCTGTTGACGATAGTTGCGTAGGTCTATGACCGGCCCATCTGAGTTCAGTTTTTCCGACACCTTGCTTAGCCCTGAGGGTACTCAACCGGATCATCGCGGAATTCACGCGCCGAGGCGGCCGAGTTTTTGAGGGTGGGGTCTGGTCCTATCTGGTTTGGGACATTCTCGTTTTTTTTTGTGTTGGGTCGTGCTGCTCCCCGGCTTCTTGCTGTCTTGGTGAGCCTTGGGTGTAGGAGTCAGGATTGAGGCAGTTTTTCCTGAAGTCGCTCTCTCTCTCTCTCTGTCTCTCTCCCTCCCTCCCTGCCTCCCTCTCTCTCTCTCTCTCTAATGAAAAGGAGGAGTCATTTCCGCATATTCATCTAAGGTTTGGGGTCAGACCTTGTTCCTAAATCTCCTTCCTTGAAGGTTTAGGGGCCAAACCTTATTCACAAGCCTTGCACGGAAATGGGCGCCACATCCGCATATTCGTTTAAGTGTTAGGGTCAAACCTTATACTATCTTATTCCGAATTTGTCTTGTTTTGCTCAATGCTCCTATTTCGCTTAAGGCTTACGGCCAGACCCTGTCGGTTGAGATTGAGGGACCAGCAGGGAGTCATTTCCGCAAATTCATGTCAAGTTTAGGGCCAGACCTTTGTCCTGAACCTTACTCCTTTAAGGTTTAGGGCGAAACCTTTTTCATAAACTGCACGCGAAAATCCTTTTCCGCAGGGCCAAACTTTATACCTTATTCCAAGTTCTTCTTCTTATATTGTTTACGGCTCCTTTTCGAATAGGGTTTAGGGCCAATATTCCTACGGGTGTTCGTTTGTTGTAGGTGTGGTCCTCCTTTGGGCATCATGCTTAGGTAGGGATTGGCCAAGACCCTTCCGCTTCCCCCCTCCCCCCGCTCCCCCTGTCCTCCACCCCTTCTCTTCTCCAACCAAGCTTGAGAACGCAGATTGCGTGCCAACTCATATATAAAGCGAAGCACACACTAGAAATACGAATGTGATTGTTGCAATACGAATACCATGACTCCTCAGCCACCTGGATGAGAAAAAAACACCCTAAACACTAAACCCTAAACCCTCATCAGCACATGGCAATCGCAAACCGTCACCCTCTGGATATTCAGATGCCAACTCAACGACTTCTATCTAGCAAACCGATATTGAAGGCTTAGAGGTATCTAAGCCCTCAAGGTAAGCCCTAAACCTGAAGGCCTTAAGCCTTTAGCATTGAATTCCAAAACTGCGCGATTGAGGCTGCGTAGCGATCCTCCAGTCCTGGCGGTCCCAGGCAAGCAGGGGGGTTTAGGGTTTAGGGTTTAGGGTTTAGGGTTTAGGGTTTAGAGTTTAGGGTTTAGGGTTTAGGGTTAGGGTTTAGGGGTTTCAGGGTCTTCAGATGTTGCAAGTGCTTTTGGGAGATGTGGGAGTGGGGTTTCGGGTTGAGGTGGCGTTTGCGGGGTTTTGGGGTGAACCCTGGCCCTAAACCCGAAACCCCAAACCCTAAACCCTAAACCCCAAGCCCTACGACCGCGTGACAGGTGGAGAATCATGAGGGGCGCGCCTCGAGTGAGAGGCTACGGAGCCAAAGTGCTTCAGAAGCTGGCCAAAGGACTGCTTGGCCTCAGGTTTGGCATGTTGGGGTTTGGGTTTAGGGTTTAGGGTTTAGGGTTTAGGGTTTAGGGTTTAGGGTTTAGGGTTTAGGGTTTAGGGTTTCGGGTTTAGGGTTTAGGGTTTAGGGTTTAGGGTTTAGGGTTTAGGGTTTAGGGTTGAGCGTTTAGGGTTTAGGGTTAGGGCCCCTTCAGGATGATTGTAACCTGTGTGGAACCCCCGAAGCCTCACCCTGAAGGAGTTCGCCAGCATCCAAGGCGCGAGCTTGCCAGGGTCTGGCTGTGCGGTTCCGGAGCCCGAAGTCTCAAGGCCCCCAACCCCATCAGCCCTGAACCCTAAACTGAACCCTAAACCCTAAACCCTAAACCCTAAACCCTAAACCCTAAACCCTGAACCCTGAACCCTGAACCCTGAACCCTGAATCCTAAACCTCAAAGACCCAACCTGCAGCATCTGTAGCGCAGCCGTGGAGTTTGATGTCGAAATCGCGGGGGCCTCTGCCCTAAGCTCTACCCAGACCCCTGCGAGGATCCAAAAAGAAGAACCCCCCAAATAGTGCCCTATGCACTATTCGGTCATTTTTAGGAACCTTAAGAGGCTTCTTCAGAGTTCCCAAAAATCATCCAATAGCAGCATAGGGTACTATTTGGGGGTTCTTCTCTTTGGATCCTTCCTGGGGTCTGGGTAAGTAAACCCTAAACCCTAAACCCTAAACCCTAAACCCTAAACCCTAAACCCTAAACCCTAAACCCTAAACCCTAAACCCTAAACCCTAAACCCTAAACCCTAAAAACCTAAACCTAAATTGAGGTTGTGGCTTGCCAGGCTTGGCTGCAGGAGATTCGATGGCGCATCGCCCTGGCCACCGTGTTTCGGACCTGGGCAGGCCGCACAGGGTTTAGGGTTTAGGGTTTGGGTCTAGGGTTTAGGGTCTAGGGTTTAGGGTTTAGGGTTTAGGGTTTAGGGTTGAGGGTTGAGGGTTGAGGGTTGAGGGTTTAGGGTTTAGGGTTTAGGGTTCACGGGTTGGCAGGTTCACGGGTTCAGGGGTTAGGGTTTCAGGGTTTATGGATGTAAGGTTCTGGTAGGGTCTTCCTTCAACTTCTCCCTAAAACATGTAAATGCCTAACCATAAACGCACAAACCCTAAAACCCTAAGCCCTCGACCCTCTTAAACTTCCTTAAGCGGCTTGGGATTTAGGAGCTCCCCCCACGGATGCTCGCAACAGCCCTTGAACGCAGGCTTGGCCGCAGATGCCCGCGACCTGCGCCACCTGGTGTCCGCGGCATCCTTGCGACATCCTTGCAGTGCTCCTTCCGGGGGGCTTTGGGGGCTCTTGGAGAAGGGTTTAGGGGTTCCCCTAAACCCTAAACCCTCAATCTAGCTGAAACCCTGAACCAACCCTAAACCTGAAACCCACAGGTTGAAAAGCCTTAAACCCTAAACCCTAAACCCTAAACCCTAAACCCTAAACCCTAAACCCTAAACCCTAAACCCTAAACCCTAAACCCTAAACCCTAAACCCTAAACCCTAAACCCTAAACCCTAAACCCTAACTCAAACCCTAAACCCTAAACCCTAAACCCTAAACCCTAAACCCTAAACCCTAAACCCTAAACCCTAAACCCTAAACCCTAAACCCTAAACCCTAAACCCTAAACCCTAAACCCTAAACCCTAACCCTAAACCTCTAAACCCCTAATCCGGGGGGGGAGGTGGGGGGTTGTCTGTTTCTGGACATGGCAGATCCGGCACCGCTCTGCCATGCGGAAACGCGGCGCCGGCCCCTAAGATCTCTGCCGTGCAATCGGGTTTGCACAGAGCGGGTTATATAGGGTTTTAGGGTTTTAGGGTTTAGGGTTTAGGGCGGCTTTCAGCAAAGGCAGGCCACGTAGCCGCTGCAGGCAATTTAGCGGCTATCTCCGGGGGAGCGACGATTGGGAAGCCCAAACTATCCCAAACTTTTCTCATGCTGTTTGGCACCGAGTGGCCCTAAGGCCCAAGCTTCAGAACATGAGTCTGGCGTGGACATGGCGTCTGGCCGTAGTTACCGTAGTTGCATTGGTGGCAGCTGACTGCCCCGATGGTTTCAGGGAGTTCAATGAGAAATGTTACATCTTCACCGAGGAGAGAGGCAGCATGACGCAGTGCCAGGACCGGATATGCAGTGGCCTTGGCGCCACCTTGGCGGTGATCCATGACATCGACACGCAGTTTTTCTTGGTGAACCTCACCCAAGAGTTCAAGGGTGCAGCTTATGTAGGTCTCTTTGAGAGGGGCACCAATGAAAGTGGTGACTGGACTTGGGTTGATGGCAGCAACTTCAGCTTCGAGCCCGATGCGAATGGGAGTCAGTATCCCTTGGCCGGATGGGCGATCTCTGAGCCCGACAACTGGTGCCTAGATGAGGACTGCGCCGCTTTGGGCGTCGAGTTCCTGCCCAACTACTCGGCTCGGGGTATACCCTGGCTCTCGAGTCTCTTCGGTCCGCTGAAGTCCAAGGGCCTCTTCGACATCTCCTGCAACACGCAGCTCCACTGCCTCTGCCAGGAGGGCCAGCAGGTCTCCGAGGACTTCGTGCTCTGGGAGTTCAACAACTCGGCCTTAACCAATGAGAACAGCCTGCATGTCAACGTGACCTACCTCCAGAACTACATGACCTGCTTCTTCAAGCGGACGCGCTGCTGGTGGTACAACAATCAGACCTTCCAGGGCTCCTTCCTGGGCCTGGGCTTGCTTTGCCTGGGCTGCCTCGTCTACAGCATGACCGGCTGCCAAGAAGGCCCTCCCGGATGGATTGCTGCAAGGGTTGAGGGTTTGGGGTGGACCTTCTGGGTACGGAATCCTACTACAGCGCCGGCATCTCCCATAAACCCTAAACCCCAAGCCCCAAACCCCAAACCCCAAACCCCAAACCCTAAACACTAAATCCTAAACCCTAAACCGCAGAGGGCCCAAGCCCGCAGTGACGCTCGGCGAGACCTCTGCGTCTTCGAACTACGGGCAGCTCTTGGAGGACGGGAGCTCGCCGTTCAGGATTTAGGGTTTAGGGCTAGGGATTAGGGTTTAGGGTTCAGGGTTCAGGGTCTAGGGTTTGTGCCGCACCCTAACCGACCCCTAGTAGGGTTCAGCTTTAGACTCACTTCCATCGCCTCCTCCCGTCTGGGTGCAGGGGCTTTCCGTTTGAAACCCCCAGAATTCGGAAAAACAACGGCGGTCGAGCTTGGGTTCCTGGGCTTAAGGGTGACTTTAGTAAGGGGAGCTGTGCCCGCTCCCCCCGGGGTTGGGGGTGTATTGGGTTTCGAGGGTTTCGAGGGTTGCGGGGCGGCGGGGGGGCTGGAGACGCCAGACGCTTGATAGTGTGTCAACCCCCTAAACCGAACCCCCTAAACCAAGACCCCTAAACCCTAAGCCCTACACCCTAAACCCTAAACACAAAACCCTAAACCCTAAGCCCTACACCCTAAACCCGTAACCCTATGCCCTTAAACCTCTACCATCCCCAGCGTTGCGACTTGGTAGGCTTGCGACCGGCAGAGTGAGGTGGACAGCACGGTGGACAGGCCATGTGGGACCTTTAGGGTTCTTTGGGGCTTAGTTAGGGGCTACTTAGCTTTTGTGGGACGATAAAAGTATACATAAGGGGTATATAGGGGAATAAGAGTTAGGGTCCTTCTCAGGGCTTCAGAGACTTGGGGGGACGTTCGGGTCTTACAAAGTTTGTCGGCTTTGGCCTCCGGGTTTCGTGCTTCGGGGTCTGAAGGATTCAGAGGTTTCGGGTTTTCGGGAGCTACAGGGTCTACACGTCACCTCAAACCTCATCCGTGGGATTGCCTGCCCATATTCTTCCAGTCGCAGCTGATGCTTCCATAGTCTCCTAAACCCTAAACCCTAAACCCTAAACCCTAAACCCTAAACCCTAAACCCTAAACCCAAAACCCTAAACCCTAAACCCTAAACCCTAAACCCTAAACCCTAAACCCTAAACCCTAAACCCTAAACCCTATTACTAAACCCTAAACCCTAAACCCTAAACCCTAAACCGAGCCCGGGCCTTCCAGCGTGCTCCCTTACCTCTGAACTCCCCTGAAAAGGTGGATCGTGAAAGGAAGCTGGGCGTCCATGCTCTACGGGATCCTCCTGGTGGCAAAATCCCCCTTGGGAATTTTTTATTTTTGTTGATATTAAACCCAAGAGGATATTAAAAGTACAATTTTTACTAGGTTCTAAGGGGCGTATAGGTGGGCCTCTCCGTGACCACCATCTGCCACGTGAACTTCGGCATCGGCTTTGGCTTCGGCCTCGATGGTCTGGTGGCCTTTGCCATGTGCGCAGCACAGGCGGGGGGCTTGAAAAAGCTCAGGGTCTCGAGGGGTTCTTACGGTGGTTTTCTTGCAGCATGATAGTGCAGCCACATGTTCAATCATGGCACAATACAAGGGTATGCTGGTAAGAGGGATGTTCACGCAACAGCAATGTGTTCACAGAAATGATCCAGGTGATCATCAGCACCAGCGCCTGCATGGTGCAGAAGCACCTGTCCACGCCTTCCAGGGTAGTCGTGGAATGGTGGGTGCTGGCCTTTGCCCTTGCAAAGGTAGGCATGGCCATAGGTGACCTGATCCTAGCTGTGATGTACATCACAGAGACCTTGGGTGGATTCGTGCGGGAGAACGCCAGCTTCTGTAGCGCTGGCTACCTCTTCTGCTGGATGCTCATGGTGTCCATGGTTTGCCAGAGCGTTGCAGGCATGGCCATAGCCAGGATTCATACCCGAGCCGCCCAGCACATGGGGGGGGTTCAGAACCTGACCAAGCTCATCGGCTGCTCCGGTCTCCTCCTGATTGTGGCCACCTTCGGGGCAGGGCTGGGGCTCGGGGTCTGCGGTGGGCTCTTCATCTTCGACGACTCCACCGATGCTCTGGATCCCATGGCCGGCATCGCCTTCTCCTACTTCGCCCCGCTGCCTTGTTTTTGAGTGGAGAGAAGTTTCATATGGACATGTCGTCTGAGCCATAGCCACTTAAGATAGTGTACGATTCTCGAGCTCAGAAGTGCTCCCTGAACTGCCAGGCCGCCGCGCTCTGCCACTTCTTCGCCGGAGCCGGCAGCCTCCGCGCGAACACGCAGGTCAGGGCACACTACCAAAAGGGTGCCCGGACCATCACGGAGATGCAGAACTTCTAGGGATTCTAGGGCCCGAAGCCACAAGGATGTGTTTTCTATCTGCGGCTGGCTTGGCACAGCCGCAGGTGTACATCAACCCATCACACATTATTTCACTTCGCTTGGAAAAAGGTGCGATGCCTTTGCTGTTGGGGGCCTTTTGAACAACCTCAGTCAATCTCAGCTGTAGACCCTCTCACGATGTCACAAGACTTTCAGCTCAGGTGATGATGCTGGCCGGCAGGAGTCTTGTGCGCCCTGAAGAAGCAGTGAGAAAGGGGTTGACGAGCCTTTGCCATGACACGATGGATTTGGGAAGTGCCTCTGATGCTGTGCTTGGGCCCGCATGACCCTTCCTTGCTTTCTTGCCTCTCCAGCAGCGGGTATTTTGCAGCAGCTGGAGCTCGCATCTCGAAGCCAGCAGACGGTCAAAGGCATTGTTGGGATGGCAGATAGAGTCTTGTCCCTGCAGCCATGTGACCACCAAAGACGTGCTTCCAGATAAAGCGCCCGCCGGCTTCCTTGCCCTCCGTCATGCAGGCTGGCGGGTTAGGTTTCAGGGTTTAGGGGTTTAGGGGTTTAGGGGCTTAGGGTTTAGGGTTGAGGGTTGAGGGTTTAGTTTCGTCTGAGCCCTGCCGAGATGATGCATGAAATCACGCCTGCCGATCATCCGCCAAGTCATCCGCCCCCACAGGCCGAGAGGTTTTCACTCTTGTGTGGCTACAAAGACACTTCTAGCTTTCTGGCGGCAGGGTGCAGCAGATGAAGCTCGGGCACTCAGCCCTAAAAGCAGTCAGAAACCCTTAAAAACCCCTTAAAAACCCTGAAAACCCCCTCAAAACCCCTTTAACCCCTCAAAACCCCCTTATAAAACCCCTTGGGTAGAATCCCTTAACACCCCTTAAAACCCTCTTAAACCCTCTTAAAACCTTTCAAAACCCCTTTAACCCCTCAAAACCCTCTTAAAGCCCTCTTAAGACCCCTTAAAACCCCCTAAAGACCTCTGCAGGCCTCGCAGAGGCCGACAAAGCGGCGGCGCCTGCCAACAGCCCGGTCCTCTTCGCTCCGGGGGGCCTCCACAATCTCCATTCGAACTTGATCTTAAGTGTAGGGTTTAGGGTTTAGGGTTTAGGGTTTAGCGTGTATAGGGTTTGGGGTTTAGGGTTTTTCGGTTCCAGACCCTGAACCCTAAATCCTCAGGGCTTCATGGATGTCATGGGGTGGCTTCTCATATGGATTCACGGAGGGATGCCGAGACGCTGCATGTTTTCTTTGGTGACCAGCCTGGGCACGTGGCGTTGCGGAGGCTTGTCGACTCCATGCCAGATGTGAGTGGGAAAAAGGCTTTTTTTTACGATGTGGATGTGGGCGACAGGATCTTGCTGTGGTGCCTGTGGAATCTTGTGGACCACTGCAATCCCCCCCCCCCCCTTCGTGGTCCCTTCCAGCATGGGGTTGCTGGATCCGTTCTGCGTGTGCAAGTTGTTTATGGCCAGGCATCGGTTCTGAAGCTGGTAGATTTAGCATGGCTTGTACATAGAAAACGCGAGTGCTGGCCCACCCGTGCCGCCATGCCATGCCGCAGCCGGGACCGAAGCTGGAGCCCTCGCAGGGCGGCACGAGCCACCGGCAGCTGCTGCCACGCCGTGCGCACCTGACACGCTTCATGGATGAAGGTGCCCTTCGCATTCGAGGCCAGCAAGAGTGCCCACATCTGTGGGCATTCTTGCTGGCCTCGAATGCGCAGCAGCCGCCACCTTCCAAGGGCACCTTCATCCATGAAGCGTGTGAAGTGCGCACGGCATGCCGCACGTTCGTACTGTGCGAGGAGTGGCACGTCCCCAAGAAGGTGAAAAAAGCCAAGAACAGAGAGGAGCAGGTTTTGGCAGCCTGCACGGTTCAAATGAACCGCTAGATGGATGGACTGATGCCAACCTTGAACGCCTACGCTATGGCCCACGACATCTTCGCGTGCCTGGCTGATAACGTCCTCACAAAAGCCTGGCCTACTCGAGATGCTCGCCTCCGCCAAGGCAGTAGGGTTCGGTTCTCAGGGGCAATGAAGCAAGCAAAAGTAATGAGCACTATGCAAAGGCTTGGGGCTCATTCTTTTTGAAGGACTTGCATTGGTGCTGGCCTGAGGCAACACTCGGAGACCGTACGAATCAGGAGCCTGGCCGGGATGCAGTGCGCCGAGGGGTGGAAAAGGTAATGCAAAGCCCGGAATCGGTCCAATGACAATCCGTCCGGCGGGTTCCTCGCATAGTGACCGCTGCATGGCGCCGATTAAGTGCCTTAGTGACCGCTGCAGCATGGCGCCCGATTAGGTGCCTGATAGGCCGGCGCTTCTCTGAATTTCAGGCGCTAGATTCTTGATAGGAATGACTCATTGACAGCCTTGACAAGATCTTGACAAGACAAGACTGCATCCCCCTACATCTGCGTGGAAGTTGAGTGATGTTAATCCGCACGACGCATCCGTCTGTCCGCTCGGTCCGCTCGTCCGCTCCGTTCGCTCCGCCGATATCAACGCTCACGTCATCTTCGGCTTTTGCAGGTGTGTGCACGGCGCATCCGTCCGTCTGCGGTCCGCTTCTCCGTTCCGTTCGCTTCGCCGCTCCGTCTACCCCAGAACTATACCGATATACAGTTTTGCGGGTCACCATATGTTATTATGACACAAAAACTTGACATGTGGGGTTATCCGGTCCTATAATCTGGTGACCAGCCTGGGCATGTGGCCTTGAGGAGACTTGTCGACTCCACGCCAGATGAGAGTGGGAAAGAGGCGACAGGATCTTGCTGTGGTGCCTGTGGAATCTTGTGGACCACTGCAATCCCCTTCCAGCATGGGGTTGCTGGATCCGTTCTTTGTGTACAAGTTGTTTATGGCCAGGCATCGGTTCTGAAGCTGCTAGATTTAGCATGGCTTGTACATAGAATACGCGAGTGCTAGCCCACCCGTGCCGCCATGCCATGCCGCAGCCGGGACCGAAGCCGGAGCCCTCGCAGGGCGGCACGAGCAGCCGGCGGCTGCTGCGCCTTCGAGGCGAGCAAGGATGCCCACAGGTGGGCGGCCTATGAGTGCCACCTTTCCAAGGGCACCTTCATGCACGAAGCGTGTCAGGTGCGCACGCGCGTGATCGCGGGCCATGCGCAGTGCCGCACCTTCGTACTGTGCGAGGAGGGGCACGTCCCCAAGAAGGTGCAAAAAGCCAAGAACAGAGAAGAGCAGGTTTTGGCAGCCTGCACAGTGCGCATGAACCCATATCTGCACTATCGCAAGATGTGGGGCCAGATCATGCACATTAGTGCGTGGGAGGAAGAAAGGGATACGGAAGCAAACTGGTTGCTGCTGTGGAGGAGCTGTTGCGCCAGGAGGGTGTGGATATTCTCGTCGCCTACCCTGCGCCGACTCGAGCTGCTCAAAGCTTCTGGGCGAAAATGGGGTATCAGCAGCAGGAGCGTAGCTTCCTCCCAGATGAGGAGCTCCTCCCGCGCTACGAAGGTGGTCCGCTGTGGCCAGAGCAGAATGCAATCACTGAGGAGCCCCTGGATCGGCTCGAAAAAAAGTTGTTGGTGGGTGGAACCCTGCCGGCACCCCGAGAAGGGGCAATCCGCACAAGACCTGGCGGCGAAGATCGCAAGTTCAGGGAAGTGGTCTGGAATCCCCTCGACCTGCGAACAAGGAAGGCCCCAGAGGTTTTCATGACTGCTCTGCAGCTACAAGCATTGTTGCACCCAGTCTGTCGGCGGATGCGCGGAAAACGGTGTCCATTCTGATGGGGACAGCGAGTTGCCCAGCTGGAGCCGTTCGCAGCACGGAGCTGGGGCTGGCTAACTTTAAATAGCCACTGTGAGCCGCTACAACAGCAAACACGGCTCAATTCAACCTAACGAACTCGGCAGATGCCGGCTGGAAAAATCGGCTTTTTTTCTTGGTGAAGATGGGAGCAGTGACAGCGGCTCTTTGCAGCCCATCTTGCGGTTTGTTGGCTATCGTTTGGCGTGCAGCTACTGGTGTTAGGAAACTAGTGGAATCCAGTGTCAGGCACTTGTCCAAGCTCCGGAGGAGGACTTTGGGATTTGGAGGATGGGGGGAGATGGAAACTGTTTGCCAGCCCGCAGGAATTCGAGCATCACTGGAGGCTTGTTGTTCAAGGTCGGACACACACAAAACGCGCACAGAAAAAAGATGGAACAAGACTGGGGCTGTGCTCTTCTCGCAGGCGCTACGTGCCGCGCTTTCCTGCGGCCTGGAACCCATGCTCAAGTTCTGCGGGGCTGTGCTGAGATATGCCTGAGGAGATCTTGCTCCGAGGTTTCCAAAGTCCGCAGCAACGGAGTCGAAGTCATGGTCGCTTCGCTTGAGGACCCCTTAGGGGCACAGGGTTCGGAGGCACGTGTGTGAATCAGTGAGTTCCTTGCGGACCCCAACGTAGACCCTCTCACGAAGTGACAGGACTTCCAGAAGGTAATGATGCTGGCCGGCAGGAGTCTTGTGCGCCCTGAGGAAGCAGTGTGGAAAAAAGGTTGACGAGCCCCTTTGCCTCCCTCCATGGATTTCGGAAGTGCCTCTGATGCTGTACTTGGCCCGCATGACCCTTCCTTGATTTCTTAGCTCTCCAGCAGCGGGAAGTTTGAGGCAGCTGGAGCTCGCATCTCGAAGCCAGCAGACGGTCAAAGGCATTGTTGGGATGGCAGATAGAGTCTTGTCACCCACAGCCCCTGCCTGCAGCCATGTGACAACCTAGGAGGTGCAGGAACACGTGAACTCAACACCAAAGACGTGCTTCCCCCCTTCGTGGTCCCTTCCAGCATGGGGTTGCTGGATCCATTCTTTGTGTGCAAGTTGTAGTCATAGCCGTGCATCTGGCAGATTCCGGTTCTGAAGCTGGTAGATTTAGCATGGCTTGTACATAGAAAACGCGAGTGCTGGCCCACCCGTGCCGACATGCCATGCCGCAGCCGGGACCGAAGCCGGAGCCCTCGCAGGGCGGCACGAGCCGCCGGCAGCTGCT